TACGTCGTCCGTCGTGTGTTAACATTTGAACATTTTCAGCTTCTTCTCTGCAACAATTGAACCAATTTCAACTAAATTTGGCACAGAGCATTTATGGGTGACGGGGAACAAAAATTGTGAATTTCATGATCCCTGCCTCCCAGGGGCCCAAGGGGTGGGGCCGAAACCACTAAAATTAATGCAATCTTTAAAAATCTTCTTCTTCACTCCTGAACATCAAGCAGTCAAACTTTTTGCATGATTATAATCAGCAATGAGTCCTCTACCAAAATTGTTAAATTCATGGCCCTGGGGTCAGGGGTTCTAGTGCTAGGGTGGGGCTAAATAAGTATATAGTGAAAATGCATTATTTCTTTGGAAATCTTCTTATCTACTCCTGGGTATTAAATAAACCAACTAAGTACATAGTTATGATGAGCATGAGTGCCTCTACCAAAATTGTGAATTTTATGGCCCCAGAGTCAGGGGTTCTGGTGTTGGGCAGGGCTCTATTAATTATATATAGTGAAAATACATTTATTCTTTGAAAATCTTCTTTTCTGCCCCTGGGTATTAAATATACTAACTAAGTGCATAGTTATGATGAGCATGAGTACCTCTACCAAAATTGTGAATTTTATGGCCCAATGGTCAGGGGTTCTGGTGTTAGGGCGGGGCTATATTGATTATATTAAGTGAAAATACATGAATTCTTTGAAAATCTTTTTCTCTGCCCCTGTGTATTAAATATATTCATTAAGTGCATAGTTACATAGTTATGATGAGCATGAGTGCCTCTACCAAAATTGTGAATTTTATGGCCCCAGGGTCAAGAGTTCTGGTGTTGGGGGGGGGGGGTGCTCTATTGATTATATAGTGAAAATGCATGATTTCTTTGAAAATCTTTTACTTTGCTTTTAGGTATTAAAAAACCTACTAAGTGCATAGTTATGATGAGCATAAGTACCTCTACCAAAATTGTGAATTTTATGGTCCCAGGGTCAGGGTTTCTGGTGTGAGGGCAGGGCTCTATTGATTATACATTGAAAATACATGAATTCTTTGAAAATCTTCTTCTCTGCTCCTAGGAATTAAATAAACTAATTACATGGTTATGATGAACAAGAATGTCTCTTTTAAAATTATGAATTTTATGGCCCCAGGGTCAGGAGTTCTGGTGTTAGGGGGGTGGGGCTCAATTAATTATATAATGAAAATACATTAAATCTTTGAATTTTTTTTTCTTTGTCTCTGTTTGTCTCTGAGTATAAAGCAGATGAACTATCTTTATAGTTATGTTGAGAAAGGGCCGTAATCTTGCAGAAATGTAAATTTCAAAGCTCCAGGGTAAGGGGTGGGGGCTCTACTTATGTACTAAAAATGAATTTATTGTTTGAAATCTGCTCTTTTGTATTTATAAAACATTAAATTTTGATATTAAGGGTGCCTTTTTGAAATTTGTGCAATGTGTGGACTTAAGGTCAAGGGTTTATGTCACAGTGTTAGGGGCACTACTGGTTAGTTGGAATGCATTTTTGTTCCCCTACCCTGCATATGGATAATCAGTAACCAAGCTAAGCAACTGCTAAGTGTATTGTTATGATGATCAATGGTGCCTCTTTCAAAATTGTGAATGTCATATAGCATTTGGCTTAAAACATGAATCAAATTCAATAACTGGAAAATTGTTGCATAATGCTCAGGTGACCTATAAGGCCCCTGGGTCTCTTGTTTTCAATAAATTTTTATTTTTCGGATGAAATGTTTTTGTGCAGCAGTGAGGCGTCCATTATCTCTAAAGGGAGTAATAAGTATGGGTTAAGAGGATATGCCGAATCTCCTATAACAGAAAAAAATATGGATATAAAAAAACAAGGAATTTTGCAATTATCTTGGGACAGAATTGTAGTTATATAGAGAATGCTTTTAGCTCTACTGGTTGAAGTTCAGAAGAGTTTATGGGACTGTGAGGGTTTGTCCATCAATCTGTCTGTAAACAGTTTTTCATAATGGTACTTCTCCTACAGTTTTGGGATCAATTCAAATAACAAAATACTAGTAGACTACATTAAAATATATAATTCTGTGTATCCGTTTTTATTTTGATGAGCAGTGCTGCCTTGGTTACTAAATATTGAAATTTCCTTCATTATGAGTATAAACCAATGGAACTACAGTCTTCTGGGTCAGAAATACATTTATATAGATTATTTTGAATAAAGATCATACCAATTATGAATATATTTGGGTTGAGCATCGCATTATCCAATTCCTCATAGATTGGTGAGTTTCTTAAAACGCGGGAATTATGAGTACAGCCTTGCCAGCCAACAAAACTATCAGTTATTAGCAGCATATGGTCAACAATGACCTGGAGTTGAATCGAGGGGTATCCCTTGCGGTTGATGTAATCTGTATCTTCACATGGAACATTTGTTAATGTAATATGAGTCCCATCAATTATTCCAGCTATGCCAGGTATTTTGCACTCAGCTTCAAAATGTTCTGATATTTCTTGCTGTCTTTGAAGATCTGGCCATGTTATAACTCTGCTACGAATTGAGCAAAGGGCCTCACATACATCGTGAATACATTCAAATACAGTCGATTGTGAGAGGCCAAACAGCAAGGCAATTTCTCTCATGCTTGTATTATTACAGAGGTACCAAATACATATCATAGTTTTTTTCTTAGATACGATTGGCAATTTACCCATTGTTCTGACAATCTTTGAAATATTCGGTTCTATCTCTTGTAATATTCTGTTAAAAGTTTCTTTTGTGAGTCTAAAATGACGTTCGAAATCATTTGAAGACAATCTCGGAACAACCTCTTCGAAAAAACTTTGGACAGACGGGTCCCGTTTTCTCTCCGGAAAACCTACTATCAAGTAGAAATGGGAAAACATCCTCATCTTCTTCTACGTCGTCTTCTTCTAGAAAATAATCAACTGTAATATCTAAACCAATTTTATCAACCATTTATGTTTACACTAGTCTTGACTCGAGGCATTCTATTAGTTTTCACGAGTTGCGCATGCTCAACCTCAACATGGGTGTCTGAAGTGTTGCTCAAATCGAACGTACCCATGGAGTGACGACTGTGCTGGCTAGCACAACAAATTTTGCCAAGCGTCATGAACTGTACACAGCTGAAAAACATGTTCAAAAGATCTTCAACAGCAGACTTAAAAAGTGTTAGTGAAGGGGTTTACCCTTAGGCAGGACTCCTCAATTAGGATATCTGAGAATTCTACAATACTCATTTTAAAAATTTGATAAGTGATAGAAAATCCTACTATTGGAATGCTGTGCATGAGAATCCTGCTAATCCCAATCTAAAGCGTCCACATAAAAAGCATGTGCAGTAACCTGGACAAAGATTTTTAACATCAATTTATACAAGGAAGAATTGACTTGAAACTTCATGCTTTAGTTTGAAGTCGGGCGATTGTGAATGTTGCCCGCAAGTTTTGCATCTTCGATTGTCAGGCCAGCATATAGCTCTATATGTACTAGTCTAAAAAATAATGGAAAATGTAGATCAGATGTATAGTGACTAGTGAGTAAATATCGTCACAAAACAATTCAATTCTCTTAGACTGGGCTAACTATATCGGACCATGAGACGATAGAACAGCAGTACTAATATCGTCATTTAACACATACCGATAGTCTCCCATCGTCATTTAACACATACCGATAGTCTCCCATCGTCATTTAACACACACCGATAGTCTCCCATCGTCATTTAACACACCGATAGTCTCCCATCGTCATTTAACACATACCGATAGTCCCCAAGGATTTCATTCCCTGGCTCCTCCTGTAGTAGCTGCCTGCAGGCAGAAACTAGATGGTTCCCTCCTGGAGTGTTGTTATTCTAAATCCTGTCAGAACTAAACTCTGATTGATCTGTAATCTGATTTGCATATATTGATGAATAAATGCAAACTGCTACAAGAATCGAAAATTAGAGAAATTAGCTGCAGAGTTCTACTATTTGTATTTCTACCACAGCTGGATCCAATTAAGCTGACAATAGATCCCAGAGCTTGTCTCAAGATTTTTTTGATAGTAGCAACCCAGTTTGATCGATTTCTCTGCATCTAAGTATAACATGATTTATTGTAAAAGGAAAATTAAACAAACTAATGAAATACCCCTCCGCCATTAACCAACTAAAACAATAAATAACAAATAGTCCCGCTTGGTTTTCAGAAAAATGTACAAAGCGACTTGTATTATTTCATGGATGTAAGAGGTAACCTCGATTACTTTCAACATCGAGATTATCTATTTGTTTGGTTATGACATATAAAATATAGAAATCTAATATATTACATACTCCACGGGCCTTATAGGCCACATGAGTATCATAAAACAACTTTCCAATTCAATTCAATTTAAAAAAAATAATAACTTGGTTCTCAGGTCCGCCCGCGTGTCATTTAATAATGCGCATTACCAATTTTTATCCTCAAATAAATTAAATGAATATTCTCTCGTGCGCTGACAGACTGAAAAAAAAATCCGGAATTCCCCGACCGCATTTTAGAATCACCAAGACTCAATCGGTAATCCTCGGCTGACTCCATTACGCTCCATTTGTCAGGTAAGGAAGTGTGTGACCCGAGGAGCTCCGAGTTATACGGGCATGGGAATGCAAATGGCGGTCAGAATAAAAGGTTAACAGAATCGTCAGTGAATGTTTGAATACATTAATTTCGGCCCAAATTCGGAAGGGATCAACTGTTTTGCTTCCCTTGCATAAAGTTGGTGGGTTTTCCGAGGAATTTACTATGTTACAACTTTATCAATCCATAAAGAATGACTCCATTAACATCGGGACTTTTGTTTTCTCGGAAAAACTACGAGATTTGCCTATAACAGTTTCTGTGGGAAAATCAAAGACTGACGCGTTTGACATTGTGATGGCAAATATGAATGTTGTTCAAACAGTGTCGTTGTTTGGTCATTATGTGAGATTCAACCTTGTAGAAGATAAAGACCAAAACAGTGTGCGAAACTAACTTCAAAGTCCTATAGACTTTCGGTCCATAGACATTTCATTTTCTATAGACCGCAGCAACTTCCTATGGACCGAAATTTAGAATACTACATTCAATGCTAAAATATTGAAATTAAAATAAATAATACATGAAAACTTGTTCATACATAGTTTAATTATATTCTCTTTCAATCTCATAGACCAACTTATTAATCAACATTTCATTTTCTTTTTCATTTTGTTCAGGTTCACTGTCTGAATCACTTTCTGGTTCCATGTATTCTGTCTCAGGTTCCATCTCAATCATAGTCTCTGTCTCTGCCACCTGAACTGTCTCTGCCACCTGAACTGTCTCTGCCACCTGACCTGTCTCTGCCACCTGACCTGTCACCAGATTTCCTTTCTGTCGTTTGGTTTGACGTTCAAAATCAGGCCTTCTATTCCTTCCTGAGGGTGTGGCCTAAATTGATATTGAAAACAATATGCACTGAACCAGTAAAAGAAAATTTTACACTCTGTTACAATATTGTATAAATAATCACAGAAGAATTGTTAAATCAGAAATGCTGTTCCTTACCATCCAGAGGGATATGGCATCAGCAGGATTGAATTCCTGAATGTTTGGTGACTCTGTCTTTATGGTCATGATCTCAGACAGTGTTTGGGATGACATTCTGGATCTCTTGTCTAGAAAATGTAAATAATATTCATCAAAACATTGTTCTTTGCTAAAACTTTCATTTACTAATATATATATTGAGAAAATACTCTTTCTTGGTTAGACTTCCATTTTATCTAATTAGTTCTTGTCCTATATTTCTAATATGCAATGTCTTATAGTTACTAACCACTTTTGATGAGTTTCATGTGCGAAAAAGATCGCTCATTAAACACAGATGTAGGGGGAAGGCTCAGCACTAGGTCTGCCAAACTCAGGATATTGGAGACTCCATGGTTCTTAAATGCAGCATGCACAGCTCTCCACTTCAGAGTGGGAATTTCTTTACCATACCTAGATCAAATACATAAATAAAACTAATGACAATTTGGACGATCCATGGTGTTTTGCTTATAAGAACTGGGTTTTATACTTATGCAGCACATAAACAATTTTGGTTTAGATAAAATTTTTATAAAAAACAGTAATTCATTATGTACCTCTGATACATGAGAGACTTTAACAATTGCCACTCTCGAATAGCCTCTTCTTTTTCCTCTGTCAAATGCAGCTTGAAGTGGTCAATGAACATACCAATTTCTGCTTTTCCAAAACCTGGATTAATACATATATGATAAGGATTGCCAACTGAATTCCATTGTACAATTTTCAAATAAAAGCAAATACATATGTATGACTGAACAAATTCAATGTAGTTAATTATGTAGTTAATTATATTTCTTTCAAAGCTATAGCCAGTATCAATATCTAAATATCTTGGTATTTATTGACAAATTAATGCAAGTTTAGATTATAATAAAATGTAATCACATCACAGGTATTTAAACATCAAAATGAAACAACAAGGTTAACAAAACTGAAAGTGAATAAAAAACAAGTAACATCAACTCTGAATCAATATTTAAATCACCAATGATTGCATCCTTTTCATTTTGGGGAGGCCAAGAGGAAAAACTAAAACACCTTGTACATGCCACCACCTCTCTATGAGAATCAAATCTCTGGGACAAACATTGCTTTACAGCAGCTGCGAGTTTGTCATGATGCACATTTGCAATGCCCTTTAAGGCAATTCCAGAAAAAGAGTTTTCCTTTCTAAGGAATTCTAGTTCCTCACTAACACTGGATTGGAAATGAGCAAATTGATAGTAATTATAATTTTAGTAAGTTTTAGAATAAAACTACACAAATATTGTTATGTGAATTTATAATGATTCATAATTTTTGTCATATTGACTTGAAGTAATTATCATATCTAATAAAAAAAATATTGAGTCTAAGCTTAGAACTTACATGATGCTTTCTGGTGAGAGAAGGTCTATGTCGAATCCACCATAACCAGTGCATCCCCAAGTGTGGTGTCTTCTCGTTGCAAATATAACGACAGCTTGGTAACCGGTGCAAGGATATCCTATAAGTATTTAAATGAATGGTGTGCATTTCATACTGTTATCACATTTATTTATAAAATTGGAATTTCAAAGCTTAGGATTTTTTATTGTTAATATAATCAAATCACTTAATTACCTTCAGCATAAGTAAATATGCAACAACATTGGCATCATGGGCCAATTTTGCCAATCCTTCAGCCTTTGGGTTCTTATGCGATGCGTTGTCAAGCTGGGAAGTGATAGCTGCATAGCTCCTCCTGAAGATATTAATGGCTTTGACGGTATGAGGGACCCATCTCGTACCGTCAACTCTGGTAGGAATTGAACATGTCATATCCAGGACTTCAAACATACTCTTCAGTTCTTTCTTCTGCTTTGGGCTTTTGCTGTAGAAATAATAGAGTCCAATCAGCATTGTCATAGCTCGGTCGTAAGATTTACTCATGGTGTGCTTTACAGCGTCTTTGATACCCAGTTCCAGTCTGTGGGCTAGACAATGGATAGGAATAATATCTGGGGATATGGTTTTCATCAGTGTACATACACCATTACGAATGCCCATCATATTTGATGCTCCATCTGTGGTGATTCCTATGACCTTTTTCGGGTTTATTTTAAACTCTTCGAGGCAGTCAATGATGGACTGGTAGATATCCTGAGATGACGTAGACTTTGGATTTAAAAATTGAAGAAACCGTTGCTGTTTTACTCCGTCAACACATGTGTGAACATATAACGACTCTTGTTCCATTCCACCTGAATCTGTGGCTCCGTCAATTGAAATGGAACAGAAGTCTGCATAGTTCAAAATTTGTACAGTTTTGTCCGATTCTACTTTTGCAATGTACCGTGCAAACGTCCGTCCTGCCTTATCATTTTCATAAGTGTTACCAATATCAAGGCCCTTGGCCTTATCTAATTTGCACAGCCACACATAATCCTTAAAGGACTTATCTAACTTGGAAACAGCGTGTACATTTCGGAATCTAATGTTCAGTTTGTAAAGCTGTGTAGCATTAAGCTGTCTAATGGCGACGGAAGCTGGAGAGGGTTGGTTGCTGTTTTTTGTCTGGGCAGCCTTACTACTGTCGACGTGAAACTTTGACCCTTCGTGTGTCTTAAGAGAATCCACCTTAAAATTGCTCGTTCCAGAAATCCATAACTTTGCTTGTACATTTAACGAGTCTAGTTTTTCTCCCCAATGTTCACGACAATACGAACAACTCATTTTACCTTCTGTTTCTTCGTATTCTAACCAGGGTCGGCCATTTTTCCAATGCTCTTGAAAGCTTCTACTACGCTTTACTTTGTCATACTCGGCATCTTTTTCTGTCTTGCTCGCTGTCTTCGGTGCCTTCCGCTTTATATTAATACCCGGGCGTGCACCCTCAACATATTTTAAGCGGTCGAAGAAAGACATGTTTTGATGTCCGCCATTAAGTAATAACAACTTAACCTCCCCTCATGTTAAAAATAAAATATTCCGATTCGAATTATTTCTGCATATATCGTGGAACAAACTATTATAACTAAGGGGTGAACAGAATACATCAGTGTAATACAGACGTTTTATTTAAACTGGTCCTCCTTTTTGTGGTTTGTTTATTAGAGACAAGCAGGAAACCAGTTTTTTTACTCAGAATTCCTATAGACAAGTCGGTCTATTAATATTTCGATCGGTATAGACCGACTAGATTTTCTATAGACATTGTCTACCGGTCCACCGTTAATTTCGCACACTGCCAAAAGAAAAGCATCGCATGTGAAATGCCATCGGAATCGGGGACAAATGATTCTGGCGCTGTATTTAGTAAGTATCATAAAAAACATATTTATGCTTAATATCGCGATATTCCGGGCATATTTTCACATCAATGTTGCCTATAACAGTTTCTGTGGGAAAATCAAAGACTGACGCGTTTGACATTGTGATGGCAAATATGAATGTTGTTCAAACAGTGTCGTTGTTTGGTCATTATGTGAGATTCAACCTTGTAGAAGATAAAGACCAAAAGAAAAGCATCGCATGTGAAATGCCTTCGAAATCGGGGACGAATGATTCTGGCGCTGTATTTAGTAAGTATCATAAAAAACATATTTATGCTTAATATCGCGATATTCCGGGCATATTTTCACATCAATGTAGTTAAGTATTTCCTGATTTTATGTGATGAATTCTTGAAATTAAAAGAAGGCATAATTTTTGAAAATATAAAATTATTCAGCATCAGTAATAAAGATTCATTGAAATATTTGCATCATAGGAAAATATATAAACACAATGATATGAAGCAACCAAGGGTGAAAAAAACTTAAGGACAGGTATTAAATGAGTTTAATATCATTACAGACAATTAGTATGACTTTTCAAATCATACCAGATAGATATGATCTGATAGACTATTGGATGAAATCAAATATGAATGTTCAAACAAATAATAGAAAATGTGTTTATATTTATAGCTTTGGCGAATTCTTTGACACTTCGATTTACTTTAGTTAACTATAGTAAACTATAGTTAAATAACTATAGTTAACTGTAGTTAAATTTAGTATAATTTTGTTAGGGATAGCAGGTGTGGCACGATAAAGATCCCTCTCTGCTTAAAGGACGGCCTTTAAGCAGAGAGGGATCTTTAAGTGCCGAGCATAGGCCTTAATTTGCAGCCCTTCATCGGCATCTGACGTCTCCATATCAGTGAAATATTCTGGAGACGGACGTTAAACAGTTTACAATCAATCGATACTGTGTATTTCGGGTAAAAGTATATCATGTTAGAAATCAGAGGAAACGTACAGTAACTATTATATTGAAATCACAGGTCATATAAAAAGAAACTGTAAATATATGTGTCAGTGATAATTGATTATATATCTTAAATATTTACAGAAAAGTGCAACAGTCAGTTCCATCACGTGGCGTCGTGAGCCTCAAGACCTCTACCTAGGTAGCAACACTCTTATGGAGAGCAGTTTCCGTCATGCCAGCAGTGCAGGAACTCTTCGTCAAACTACTCCATCAACTGCAGGCCTCTCTAACGCAATCTCAACATTTGCATCACCATCAACCCCAGTTTTGCCAGTTCTACCATTAATAAGTCACAAGACCAACTTCATGAGCACGATTTCCGCTCAACTGAAAGGGCTTCAGACGACTGTCAACATTTTACGGCAGGATTTATCACTTGCAAACACCAAGCTGGACGCTGTCAACAGGCGTATCATCCGACTTGAGAACCTTTTAATAGACGAAGGCTAAGAACGCGAGGAACCTCCTGAACAGCTCCAGGCAAGGGTACTCCCACACGGAGACTTGGATCCCCGAAGATCTACGGATGGAAGAACTGATCTTGACTAGCCTACAGCAAGAAACCCACAACCCGGAAATATAGATTAAGATTTTCGCCACTGGACAGAAATCTAATTACAATTGGTTTGGTGGTAGACGGAAGGAAAAAGAGGAGTTAGACGGGAGAAAGAAAAGGGCCATCAGAACTCATGTTGAACATTTCTACCAAGAGGTAAAAGATGCTGCCGTCTGGAGAGACCTTGTTGTGTCCAGAATCAACGAATGTCTTTGACGGCCAAGGAAAACCAACAAAGAAAACGTTAATCCGACATCCGAGGTGAACCCACAGCCGACTTTTCACAAGCCCACGGAATACCAGCGCATGGAAAAACAGGCAACGGAACATTCAGCTGTAAGCGTTGACCCCCAAAACGGGTCCAGCAATCCAAACATGTTCCCCTCAGAATGGGCCTCTGCTGCACCATGTGCGGATAAACAAAGAGGCGTTACAAATTGTATGAGGAAGAAGAGTCCAAAGCCCGGGATAGGAAAGCTGCCACTGTCAATAATGGGCTTCAGGAGGGCCATAGTCAAACCCCTGTCGGCAATGATGGGTGAGGAAAACTCTTTTTACTACTAGCACACCAATCATGTTCGTAGGTCCCTACAAAAAGCATCGAATAAAATTATGCCCATAATTGAAACCCTAAATGAAACTGACATGAGTAACTGGTGTCGCCAGCTGGTGGTTGTCAACATTATAAGGGGAGGTGACTCCCCACATGTCATCCCTGTACAGTGCGATGGCATGTTCAATAACCCCCTGTACGGTGTGGTTTAGAACCCTATCAATTGGCGACGCAAACTGTGTGGTCATTTGCTGAAAATGTCACATCTAATAGTTAAAATGGTTATAAAAAATAAAATCTGTTCAAAACATGGCCACTTACTAGAGTACTGCTAACCACCAATGTAGTCCTGTGATGTGTGGGGCAGACCTACCCATGCAGCATACAATAGGGGATGAGTTCATACGGGCTCGGGAGGAGATTACCTCTATAAGGATGGTCTGCTGCGAACTAAACATGTCCATTATAATGACACTCGTCACTTGTCTGAGAATATCAGAAAGTCAATTATAAATTAAAAAACTCCGGAGTTCTTCTGCCTAGAATGAGGCAAGGTTCCATGTCTGCATTTCAAGGAGGTTGTCTTCAGTTTTACTGGGCAGGACGATCAGAACTCGCAGAAAGCCGACAGCTTTAGCAGAATTTTCACACTTAAAAAACCTACCAGAAGACGATAAAGCTGTCCTGATGAGGAAATGGGAGGCCAAGTTAAGGAATTTCTCAGCCTCTCCTTTGACAATCTCTGTTGAGGGTCTGTTTAAGAAGGACGGACAGAGAGTGTCCATCTGTGGAGTTATAAAGGAAGTAAGTCATCTCACCGATTTTTTCAAAGCAAATCAAATTTTCAGACGGATTTTTTTGGAAATGTTGCTTCAGGGGAAACTCTTTTGCAATCTTTTTTATAATGATATGCAAAAAGAAGGAGAATCATTAGTATCTCAGTCGCGAAGACTACGCTTAAGGATATTGTTTATTGCTGTTTGATGTGAATAGTACTTTCGACAGCAAAAATAATCTACCCCTACTAAGGAAAGGTCACACCAGATAACAACTAAAATTTGATACCACTCTACAAGAAGCTGTGACTTGCATGTGCATTTTCCTTTCGTTTTAAGGATTAAGGCTGCGCGTAACGTCGATATCAAGTATTGGATGACAAGCAGTTATAGAAGGCAATGCTAAAATATCATTTTTTTCATAAATCATACGGAGGCGTATTTCCGGCTGATACTGTTTTACAATTTAAAAACCCGTATGGGTTTTATATTTTAAACATCGAAAAGGTGGTACATTTTTACACAATCAAATACCAATGTATAGAACCAAATATAATGTTTCTTACATCAATCAGTTTATATTGGCAAATCACTAGGAAAAGTTCATTATTTAATTGAATATTTTCTTTATTCATCCTCAGAATGAGACTTATCTCCGATACGACTGCAAGAGTCCTACCTGGAAGAAAGTCAGTAATGCGACTGTCTCTACTCAAAAACTTTGGCTGTGGTGAATTTGTTTTAGGTAATTCCCTTTAAGAATAATTATAATTATACTAATGAAGTCCAAGTTAATGATTTTACTGGTGCATACTTTTTCATTGTTCTGCATTGAACTCCCAATATTTACTACTAAAATGAAGGCCGACAACACAAGAGGACAATTCTTTTTCGCCGATGTGAACCAGAGGTTGTTACACTGGTGCGTCACCAACTCTGGCCATCTTCTCCAAAAACCCTACCATAGCATTGGACTTTGAGCTGATGAAGTGGTTTTATTGTTTGTTGTTGGAGGGTCATCTTAGTCTCCGAAGTTTCACCACAGTCCTTTCCACACGTCAATCCAAACATTAAGTTGGATATACCAAAAAATAGTATTACATGACAGTCATTGTTAAATCTATTTTTACATATAATTGATCATCGAAATAAAATATTTAAGAGCCAGTCCGCGAGAAAACCATGCAGAACTGTCCAAATCGAAGGTTGTCATATCTTAATGAAATTCGGTGGGTAGTTAGACTTATAATATGTTATTAAAAAATGACCAAAAAAATTCCCATCATTCAACATGGCAGCTGTAGGCAGCCCCACCTCCTTTTTGCACATTTAAGTGCAAATGCACTTAACAAATACAAGAAAATTGGTAATATTCACATTTGATTTACTTTACTCAAAATTAAATTTGCATTTCCATTAAGGTAATTTTAAGTAACATAAGACTATGTTCTTTCAAAATTGACATTTATCATAATCAAATATGCAATATATCAAAGGGCAGACAACTCTTGAAAATTGGCATGATGTCAATTTTCAAGAATTGCCAAAAGTATTACAAATTTAATGCCCCAAATCTTCCAAGACCAATCTTTGAAATTCATTTTTTTATTTCATTGTACAAATATAACTCTAAACATTACTTTTACAAAATATTGAGCTTGGGAAATAATAAATAATTTAGATATGGAGATTTACAAATTGCCAATTTTCGAAAAAATTGCTCAAATTCAAATGGGTTACAAAGTCAAATATAGTACTTTAAATTATAAGAAATTGTTGTTAGATATTGAAACATGTAACACTTTTTTTTTACATAATAATTAAGATTGAAAATATTAAAATTAAAAATTAAATTGTCAGAAATTACCCCTTATATGAGGATAAGCATTTTGCCAATTGTTTAGAAATGAAAAAAAGGATAATTGATTGGTTTACTTGCATTTTTTTTTTCAACAATCAGATTAATATTTATGTTCCTTACATTTTGTAAGTTAGTTTCTTTTTAATCAATAAAAGGGAAATTACAAGTATTTAAATTCAAACGG